ACCCTTAAGGTATAGTGTATACCCTTAAGGTTTAGTGTATACCCTGGTCTATGTGCCATTTTATCAATGAAAATATAAAGTCAACATGATGCATGAAATAACAATACTGAAAACGGACAAAACAATTACAAATCATTTATTATGTAAATAAATTCTAATATAGAAATAATTTACCTTGAATAGTGCAATGTTATAAACTTTGTAAACACAAAATAAATAAATAAAAACAATGAAATACATTTTAAATCACAGACAATAAGCTGTTGGACGGTATTTAACTTCAAAATAATTAAAAATGTTTCAGTTTCTTTCAGTCTTAGGATTATGTTTCGGCAAATTGTGGACATTTTAAGACTCTACACAAAACTTATGTCGATAAAACAACAAAATAAAATACTTTAAACTTCCAAGTCAATAAGTAACTCTAACAAAATTATGACTGAGAGTGACAATTCAGCATGAAGCTCTTGCAAAATTCATAAAATTTGTAATTTCCAGCTGACATTCATATTGACTTTAAATGCCACCTGATAGCAGAAAGCTTAAATGATACAATAGTACATGCTAGACATGTTACCTAAATGAGAAATGGAATTTATGATAAGCTGAAATATACATATAGTTATGTCATGTATTAATACCGATTTAATCGTACATGCAGATTTTCGTAAAATATATGTGTATATCTATATATATAAAAATAACACAAAGAGTTTCTTAACAGCTCCCCAACGCTTTCATCTCTTTAGACGTTCATCAGAGGTTGTGTTTCCTTGTCAATGTGATACACCCTTTCAACCCCATGTAACTTAGGTAGACTCTACCATGCATTGATCTGGATGAATCCATTATGGTCTACAGTGGTGAAAGGGTTAAACACATCCCCTGATGAACACCCTAAAGAGGTGACAATGCTAGGGAGCAACTAAAAAACCCTTTTTGTTATTTCTTTTATATTTACCCATCACATGGACCGTCTATATTTATTAATAGCAATTCCTTCATGTATAGTCATTAAATAAAGTTTGTTTTCATTACCTTCAACATCTTCTAAAAATAGTCCATGTCATGCAATGATGAAATCATACTGCTGCTGTGTTTTGTTATGTACATGTAGTTTTAAAGTTCAATGCTCCAAATAGTAGGTTGCATGGAGAATATTTTTGTATTATTTGTTGAGATCATATTCATTCCATATTAAAAATACTTTGCAATTTCTAACAAACAATAACAGAGATATTAATGCTGTTACATCACAAAACAAAATAAAGTTTGCAGTCTGTAGCATGGACAGTTCATAGTGTTACTTGTAAGTAAAACAATATAACCTTGTAAATTAAGATACAACTTGTTCCTGTTCAAAAAAATCCTCCAGGAAATGAAGGCACAATTGTGGCATTGGAATGTTTTGAGAGGTAACCAGCAATATAAGCTTTATACATAACATAAACATCTCATCAGATAATCCGGAAACTCTGTTGTCTACAAAAACGTAGATACTTAAATTCACACACAACCTTTAAATGAATACATGCAAAAATGTATAAGATAATAGTCTGACTAATGTCATAATTTACAAAAAAATCACTAATTATGAAAAGATCTTAATTATGAAGCATAACACTGCTTCAATATGGTAACATGTTAGGATAGCTGGTATATAAAATAGGATATTTTTTTATGTATCTAATAAAAAATCACAATTATTTTATATGAAAACAGATCACAGTCATTTCATGTAAAACAAGATCATTCATCACATACAGGAAATATCACAGATTACTTTAGTAAAAGGCCTCATACATACTGTAACCTAAAGCTATGATTTCTTTCACTCTAATAAATTATATTTTAATTTCACAAATTAAGTGTGTATATAAATGAATAGAATTAATGAATATTAGTCTATACAAGTCATTTTTCAGTAAGTTGATTTAGAAATAAATTTTGAAAAATTGTAAGACTTCAAGAAAAATGCATTTTTGAGCATCAGTCAATCCATATCTGATTTCTTCTGTTTTGACAGGGAAATCTTTCAACATTAATCTAACTATAATAACAAATTTACAGTTACATTGCAAATGTAAATGAAATAGTGTATTTGTAAAATATAAGCTTGTATTAAAGAGACCATCACTGGGACATCCGAAAGCACACATTTTTAAATAAACAAGTTGCTCAAGTTTAAGTTTATTACAACAATCACAGGGGTATGTTGCCATTGGGCCAAGAACCCTTAAAACTGAAATTGGCCCCTCATTTTTTACTATTTTTTTTTTTATTTCACATAGAAATTATTGTACTGACTAAAAGTTTCACAGATTGGCCCATCGCTTCCAGCTCTAAGGATATTCCCAAACTGACTCTATCTTTACCCAGGATAGCATATAAAGCTAAGGAAAATATAGCTGATATCCAATTAAATACCTTCAAAGCTAAATACACCAACAAGGATCAGTAAAAACTAACAGCATGCTTTAACATTCATGGGAGTTGGTTACTACTGTTATGTTATCTAGTGAACTACTTATTTATTTTAATGAAGGTATCTAAAACTAACATTACAGCCAAGAAAGAAGAGGAGAAATACTACATTACTGGCATGTCAGCTTTTCAAAAGATGCAGTATAACCCTGATATTGGCAACTTGTTTCAGCTATGTTGACTGTCATCAGTGGCTGATGGGTGACTGCCTGCACATTACACCTAGTGCTTTTGACAACAGACAAAAATTGATATACCTTATAAACTAAAGTATTCAAATTGTTAAATAAATAAAGAGGAGATGAAAATCTGACACAAAACAAGTGAAGTTATACTATACACAGCACTATAATGAAGTTATACTGTACACAGCACTATAGTGAAGTTATACTGTACACATCAGTATAGTGAAGTTATAATGTACACAGCAATATAGTGAAGGTATACTGTACACATCACTATACTGTACACAGCACTATACTGTACACAGCACTATAGTGAAGTTATACTGTACACAGCACTATAGTGAAGTTTTACTGTACACAGTACCATAGTGAAGTTATACTGTACACAGCACTATAGTGAAGTTATACTGTACACAGCACTATAATGAGGTTATACTGTACACAGCACTATAGTGAAGTTATACTGTACACAGCACTATACTGTACACAGCACTATAGTGAAGTTATACTGTACACAGCACTATAGTGAAGTTATACTGTACACAGCACTATAGTGAAGTTATACTGTACACAGCACTATAGTGAAGTTATACTGTACACAGCACTATACTGTACACAGCACTATAGTGAAGTTATACTGTACACAGCACTATAGTGAAGTTATACTGTACACAGCACTATAGTGAAGTTATACTGTACACAGCACTATAGTGAAGTTATACTGTACACAGCACTATAGTGAAGTTATACTGTACACAGCACTATAGTGAAGTTATACTGTACACAGCACTATAGTGAAGTTATACTGTACACAGCACTATAGTGAAGTTATACTGTACACAGCACTATACTGTACACAGCACTATAGTGAAGTTATACTGTACACAGTACTATAGTGAAGTTATACTGTACACAGCACTATAGTGAAGTTATACTGTACACAGCACTATACTGTACACAGCACTATAGTGAAGTTATACTGTACACAGCACTATAGTGAAGTTATACTGTACACAGCACTATAGTGAAGTTATACTGTACACATCAGTATAGTGAAGTTATACTGTACACAGCACTATACTGTACACAGCACTATAGTGAAGTTATACTGTACACAATACTATAGTGAAGTTATACTGTACACAGCACTATAGTGAAGTTATACTGTACACATCAGTATAGTGAAGTTATACTGTACACAGCATTATAGTGAAGTTATTCTGTACACAGCACTTTAGTAAAGTTATACTGTACACATCACTATAGTGAAGTTATACTGTACACCTGCACATCAGTACAATACAACAATGTGATGATAGACAATTGATGTTGAAGCACCAAAGAGTGACGTTAATCACACACCCGGGTCTTTTTCTGTTGGGCCCGCACCTCCTGGCTTGTGACCTTTCAGGTAGCCTCGTCTGTAATGGAGGAAAAAATTATTATAGTCATTGATGACTCAATGGAAAAGCATGTAATCTCATTTAAGAAGAAAAATATGTGGCGCTCTCGATCTGTTTTTTAACACATTCACATTTAAGGATCCTCGTACCATTGCGAGAAACTGTAACTTGTTGCATTTTTTTTCTCTGTCCTCACTGTAGTTTGATAAATCATTTCTGAAAAGAAAACCATACCTTTGCAGGACTTTTATGAGACATGAAAAATACAAAATAAACAAAATATAATCAACAAGTGTTCTTTGTGTAATATTTAGTGGGGCTATATCGACATTCAAACCCGCGACATTAGATTAGATATACTATCGTTCTAACTGTTTGAGCTACCTGGTCAGCAGAAGTGTCCTGTCTAAACTCTGCTACAGTTATATACAAGTTAAAAGGAAGGGGAGGGGTAATGTATTTATAGGAAAAAACACAGTACAGTGGAACAGGGATCCTTAATATATAAAAAATAATGACTGTATTTTTCTTGATTTGTAAAAACATTCTAAGGTAAAGAGTTCCATTGCTTCAGTTATAATTGTGATGAGTCATATTTCAGAGCCGTTATTTATTGTACTTGGACTTTTATTCTCCCCTATATATATGGACAGTTAAGCAACAGAGAGAATGTTTGACCTATAGTGACTGCCTTTGCCAAAGAATTCATCTCTTGCTTTGATACATTTAAAATTTCTGGAAAACCACATTAGCAAAGTGTAAGTTCAATTTGTGTGGGTTTTCTTTCTTTTCAAATATTCAAATGTGGAACTGCTATAAATACAGTGGTAATTTTACAGGTCCATGGAAAGCTTTTGCAGAAATGGGCTTAAAAAATATTTCATGATAGTGACCTTGAAATCATAAATTTTAACTTTATGGTACTCTTTTTAACTTCATTAGATATGATTTTTTAAAACACTTTTATTAAACTTTAACCAGTAAGGAGGTTTTGTTTTAAAATTATTTAGAGAATGAATATAGTGCCCTTCCAGTGACTCACTGTACTTACAATAATGTATTTGTCTGCTGCAGTTCTGTAATTTTGGCCTCAGTCTTTTCCATCCAATCTTTGTACTTTTCACCCCATGACCTGTTAATCTGCAAACAAATTACAATTAATAATAATAATATAATAGTTGGAGGTTCTTATATACCGCTTTATCACAACCTAGTTCGTAGGTCGCCTCAAATTAAAGCAGTTCACAAATTATTATCTGTGGATTTTGCACTCACAGCTAGCATTCAACAATTCCAGCACTGCCCAACCACGTACTCGTCAACAGCTGAGTAGACTGGAACAAGTGGAGTGAAGTATCTTGTTCAAAGAAACAACACAGTGNCACACCCCAAAACCTGTATCACCCCCGCCGTAACACACCCCAAAACCTGTATCACCCCCGCCGTAACACACCCCAAAACCTGTATCACCCCCGCCGTAACACACCCCAAAACCTGTATCACCCCCGCCGTAACACACCCCAAAACCTGTATCACCCCCGCCGTAACACACCCCAAAACCTGTATCACCCCCGCCGTAACACACCCCAAAACCTGTATCACCCCCGCCGTATCACACCCCAAAACCTGTATTAGCCCTCTCAATATCAGCCCGAAAAACCCGTATTACACCCCTTTTGGAAATTTTAGTAGCTTTTATTAGTAAGTATGAAATAAACAGAATAAAACACGCCTTTTTCCATATCACACCCAGTATCAACCCACGACCAATATCACCCCTCGGCCCTTGGGCTGATATTGCAGTTTCAGGTTGATACTGGGGGTGATATGGAAAAAGGCATGTATTATTCTCTATATAACGGATACTATGTTGATATTTGACATTTTTTACTTCTCTCTAGAAATGTCCATAACTGAAAGTATACAAGGGTACAGGATATATACAGAGAAAGTATACAAGGGTACAGGATATATACAGAGAAAGTATACAAGGGTACAGGATATATACAGAGAAAGTATACAAGGGTACAGGATATATACAGAGAAAGTATACAAGGGTACAGGATATATACAGAGAAAGTATACAAGGGTACAGGATATATACAGAGAAAGTATACAAGGGTACAGGATATATACAGAGAAAGTATACAAGGGTACAGGATATATACAGAGAAAGTATACAAGGGTACAGGATATATACAGAGAAAGTATACAAGGGTACAGGATATATACAGAGAAAGTATACAAGGGTACAGGATATATACAGAGCATTACGACTGTTGAATGGAAATTTGTCTGACCTCAACAAATAGCAGTTTGTTCTCAAGGATACAAGTGTACAGTATATATATATATATATATACAGAGTTGTGACCTTGCTTCAACATTAGGAACAAACATTTATTGTATGGGGGCTTGTTATAAGCTTTTCAGAGACCTTGAAAGGGAGAATACCCTGTCACCTGTAATGTTCTGATAAAACTTAACTTTCTTCTAGTTAGCCCTTCTGCTTTTGGCTAAGCCCCTAATCCAATCCATTATGACTGCTTGTGCAGTGTCCATTTACACTTCCAGATGTAATGTAGCTGTTTCAGATATTTCAAAGAGTTGGTCATGAAATCTTGGAAATACCTGGAACTTTTCTGAGATATATATTACATCTCCACATGATAACTTAGGTAAACTATTATCAAAAACCAACCCCCAACTACTGTATGATGTTGATCAATTTCTTCTAAGAAAATTAAGGTATGAGTTATATATATATCAGTAATTACATCTATCTTAAGTTTCTCCTCCATTTCACACCATTTCGCCTCCTTGATACTGAGGTCTGTGACAAGGGAAGTAACTCGATCCTTCAGATCTGTATTTTCTATCAACAATGCTGCATTGTCGGCCTCCAAACTATAGATATATCTCTGTAATGCCTCAATCTCACTTTCATGGTCACAAGATTTTTCCTGAAAATATAATGTGAAAGTCAAAGCTTCATATACATGATATTTTTAAAATCTTGATCCAAACTCTAAAAAAAAAACATCCTAAGAGGAACTTGAAATTCTTTGTTTTTGAGTTAACGTAGAAAAAGATGACACCAATCGTTAAGGACCATATTAGGAGCATTATTAGTAAGTTTGGTCAAATCCTGACTGTTCATTCTGACAGAGAAGTTGTTGCTAGAAAAGAGAAAATTAGTCATAGTTTCACCCAGGTGGAATAAACCTACTTGTAAAACAAAATGTATTGATAAAGGTCTAAAGCTTTCCAGATCTTAATAACTTACAAGATGAAAACATTTTTACTCTATAATGTATCTCATCAGTAACTCAAGCATTATTTTACGTTAGGCTATTTACCTGTTCTTTTAATATTTCAATCTCAGAAGCAAACTTTTTTCGGAGTTCCTCTATCTCCCCATCGTGATTATCTGTTAGTTTCTGTGGAGCTGGGACAGGGGCTGCCTTCACTGCTGACTCTCTATCAAAAATAAATATTTATCAAAATAATCATTTGACAAAAAAAAAAACTGATCAAATAAATTCCTGGCTAGGATATATGACAATATTTAGTACTACACGACTGTACAATGTAGTATTACACACAGGTGTACAATGTCACTAGCCTAACACCCAGACCTAGTAGTATTATACAGAGACGTACAATGTCACTAGCCTGACACCCAGACCTAGTAGTATTATACAGGGCTGTACAATGTCACTAGCCTAACACCGAGAACTAGTAGTATTATACAGAGACGTACAATGTCACTAGCCTGACACCCAGACCTAGTAGTATTATATAGAGACTTACAATGTCACTAGCCTGACACCCAGACCTAGTAGTATTATACAGACGTACAATGTCACTAGCCTGACACCCAGACCTAGTAGTATTACACGGAGGTGTACAATGTCACTAGCCTGACACCGTCATCTAGTAGTATTACACAGAGGTGTACATTGTCACTAGCCTGACCTTACACCCACAGCTAGTAGTATTACACAGAGGTGTACAATGTCAATTGCCTGACACCCAGATGTAGTAGTATTACACGGAGGTGTACAATGTCACTAGCCTGACAACCAGACCTAGTAGTATTATACAGAGACTTACAATGTCACTAGCCTAACACCCAGACCTAGTAGTATTATACAGAGACTTACAATGTCACAAGCCTAACACCCAGACCTAGTAGTATTATACAGAGACGTACAATGTCACTAGCCTGACACCCAGACCTAGTAGTATTACCCAGAGGTGTACAATCTCACTAGCCTGACACACACAGCTAGTAGTATTATACAGAGGTGTACAATGTCACTAGCCTGATACCCAGAGCTAGTAATATTACACAGAGGTGTACAATGGCACTAGCCTGACACCCAGACCTTGTAGTATTACACGGAGGTGTACAATGTCACTAGCCTGCAAACCAGAGCTAGTAGTACTACACAGAGGTGTACAATGTCACTAGCCTGACACCGTGATCTAGTAGTATTACACAGAGGTGTACATTGTCACTAGCCTGACCCTACACCCACAGCTAGTAGTATTACACAGAGGCGTACAATGTCAATTGCCTGCCACCCAGATGTAGTAGTATTACACGTAGGTGTACAATGTCACTAGCCTGACAACCAGAGCTAGTAGTATTACAAAGAGGTGTACAATGTCACTAGCCTGACACCGTGATCCAGTAGTATTAAACAGAGGTGTACAATGTCATTAGCCTGACACCCAGACCTAGTAGTATTATACAGAGGTGTACAATGTCACTAGCCTAACACCCAGACCTAGTAGTATTATACAGGCGTACAATGTCACTAGCCTGACACCGTGATCTAGTAGTATTACACAGAGGTGTACAATGGCACTAGCCTGACACCCAGACCTAGTAGAGTATTACACGGAGGTGTACAATGTCACTAGCCTGACACCAGACCTAGTAGTATTATACAGACGTAAAATGTCACTAGCCTGACACCCAGACCTAGTAGTATTACACAGAGGTGTACATCATCTAGTAGTATTACACAGAGGTGTACAATGTCAATTGCCTGACACCCAGATGTAGTAGTATTACACGGAGGTGTACAATGTCACTAGCCTGACACCAGACCTAGTAGTATTATACAGACGTAAAATGTCACTAGCCTGACACCCAGACCTAGTAGAGTATTACACGGAGGTGTACAATGTCACTAGCCTGACAACCAGAGCTAGTAGTATTACAAAGAGGCGTACAATGTCACTAGCCTGACAACCAGAGCTAGTAGTATTACAAAGAGGCGTACAATGTCACTAGCCTGACAACCAGAGCTAGTAGTATTACAAAGAGGTGTACAATGTCACTAGCCTGACAACCAGAGCTAGTAGTATTACAAAGAGGCGTACAATGTCACTAGCCTGACAACCAGAGCTAGTAGTGTTACAAAGAGGTGTACAATGTCACTAGACTGACACAGTGATCCAGTAGTATTAAACAGAGGTGAACAATGTCATTAGCCTGACACCCAGACCTAGTAGTATTACACAGGGTGTACAACGTCACTAAGCCTGACCTGACACCAAGACCTAGTAATATATTACAGACATACAATGTCACTAGCCTGACACCAAGACCTAGTAGTATTATACAGACGTACAATGTCACTAGCCTGACACCCATACCTAGTAGTATTACACAGAGGTGTACATTGTCACTAGCATGACCTGACACCCACAGCTAGTAGTATTACACAGAGGTGTACAATGTCAATAGCCTGACACCCAGAGCTAGCAGTATTACACAGAGGTGTACAATGTCACTAGCCTGACACCCAGACCTAGTAGTATTATACAGACGTACAATGTCACAAGCCTGACACCCAGACCTAGTAGTATTA